TTTTTTTTTTTTTTTTGTTTCTGTCCATAGATGAATTTGAACCTCCCAGCTGCTGATGGTCATCTCTGTAACATGGGAAAGATGATAGAGGAAATGGAGGGTAAACTGAGGTACTCCCTGGATCAGGTGTGATGGTTTCTATTGTTTTATTTCAACTACTCTTTGCATGTTGCTTCCAAACATGTCACCCTTTTTTTGTTATTGCCATTAACCGGGAATCTTATACTTTCGCCTCAGAAAATGATTATTGCTCGGATAACATTGTGGGTTTTAACATATGCCAATTGCAGGTTTTATGGGAAGACAAAAGAAATGGTTTGCACTTTAAGATCGCCTTCCGAAGTGGCACCAATGAAGCTACCTAACAGCTGATGTTGCATCATATGGTTATGAAACGGAACTGTCTAACATTAGCACTAAAGTGCAGCATTGCCTGTCAAATATCATGTTTATATAAAGCCCAATGTGCCACGTCATTGCCATTGTATTGGAAATATGGATATCCTGGATAATACTGTTTCTATATAGCATTGTAGAATACTGTAGGTTCTTCCGTTCATTTCCTATCTCAAAAATATATCAAATATATTTTATATATTTTTGAAATATTAAAAGACTAAAAAACTTACAGGCAAAATCCTACCTTAATATTCTCAGACAAAGCCTTAATGTCTACAAAAGGCACTTAATAGAAGCATCATGATTTAACTAAATGAATAGAAGAGACAGGAGTTCAACTCAAAACGTAGAGGTTTCCACAAAAAGGGCAACCCAAATAGTAAATCATTCATAATATTCGGTTGTCAAACTTTGAACTCATTACGGATAGCTCTGGAATATAAAACGCAGCTTTCAGTCTTTTTTCTCTTCAGCTTCACCACCAGTTGACGTTGCTCCTCTCTTCTCCACAGGTGGTACCTCTTCCTTCTCTGCAGGGGGTGCTTCTTCCATATTTTCATCTTCTGTGTCGCTTTCTTCATTATCTGCACAAGAGAAAACTTGAGCCACTCCCACACTTAATATAATAGACAAATGTGAGATGGGTACAAGGAAAGTTGCATGGACCAAACACTTACCATCATCTCCTTCAGCAGCACCAAAGCCTTCAATGCCGCCACCCATATTTAGTTTCTGAGACAACAAACAAAAGAAAGCAAATTGCATCAGGTCCACCCCCGTCTAGACACACAGAAAAGATACCAGATATATATGAGGTTAAATCACTACTTACAGACAAGTCAAAGTCCCCAAAGTCCATATCAGCTCCTACTGGTGACCAAAATGCTCAGTTAGTCAAGGCCAACAGGAAAACATAACAGTGTGAACAACAATTTAATAGACATTGGGATAATAAAACTAACACTTGTTTTCCGGTTCATGTTCCTCATCTTCATCAACCCATTTATCCCAATCAACTTTCAAAAAGACAGGTGGTCTGCCCTCCTGCTTAATCAATCTGCTCCACCACTTGCCCTCAGCCTTTTTTATGAGGTAACATATATTTCTTTTGCCGACACTAGCCTTGCTTCCCTGTGAGTCATAATTATGTACTTAACCTCACATAAGCTGTACGTGTAAGGGACTAACTATTTGTGATGACACAATAATCATGGACTTACATTTACATCAACCTTGTCATACAGATCAATGTCAACTTCATAAGGAATCTTATCTGCTCCACTGATAGCAGAAAAGAAAATTTTTCCTTCAGGCTCCAATTTAAGCTTCACGTCCTGTGCATCTGGCAGGTCAACAGTTATGTAGAGCACATCTGATCTCTGGGCCCACTTCACTGTAGGGTGTCGGCTACAAGTTGAAATGTTTTAAATATTTCAGAAAGAAAGATTAGGTCATTTATATTCTATCAATCCTGATTTTGTTGCAAAGTTCTTGAAGAAAATCTTAAAAGACTCAATATCGGATTAATCATGCCATTGAAATGTTCAAAAGATATAATTAGAAAGAAGGATCAGATCATATATAATTTCACTGATCCCCTGAAGATGAGGATAATTGGTGAATACCTCCCAAGCTAAGATTAGATCTAAGTTCTTGAAAAAAAAATCTTAAGAGAGACACAATATCAGATTTATCTTTCTCATAAAAAATATATACATATAACAGATTTATCTTGTTGCATTCAACCCCAAACACGAACTGAGAATTACCATTAGACAGTCTAATGCTCTCGCATGAGCAGTCATTAACTATAGACATTGAATAATACTTCCATCATCAAAAAACGGAAAAGAAAATCATAGGCACATAATACATAGTGTCAAACTATAGAATTCAAGAACACTATCCACCAAGAACCCTCAGAAAAAGCCACTGCTTGCTTAGAACACAAAACCACAGTATGAACAAAAGCAACTTAAACACAAGCTCAAAGCATGGATCCAAAATCCCCAGAAATCGAATTACTGAAATAATCTCACCAGCTTTCAAAGAAGCTAAATTTAAGAGTCGCTTCCTACTTTAAGGAGATGACAATCAAACATCTATTTCTAACGGAAGAAGGATCAGAATCAATAACCTAAAAAACTGGAGAGCATTAAACTTGATATCGTTAACCATAGCAAAATACCGAATGATTCCAAAAGGAAAAGAAAATAAAAAAAAATTAAAAAAAAAAAAACGAAAATGGAAGTGAAAACCAAAAGTAAAAGGAAACAGAAAAAAGTCCGCTTCTTTTCTTTTCCTTCATTTTCCACGCAACCAAACACAGACTTCGAAATTCTTAAAAGAAAACAACTTCAGAAAGAAAGAGAGACTGCTAAAAACTTGCAGAGATGATGAAGGAGATTACAGGATTACCTCATCTTTCCGATTTTCTTAGGAAGAAGAATCAGAGAGCAGAAATCGAGCTTTGTCAGGAAGGTATGTAAGCAGGTAGAGTAGAGCAAGGGTTTCAAAGGTGTGAAATGCGATATTTATAAGGTATTTTTCTAGAGTCTAGATGTTTCCTATATATTCTCGGTGCTCTATGCACCTTTGGAATAAATATAAAAATAATAAAATAATGATAATATCATTTTAAAATATTTTATATAAATTTTTATATTTTATATAAATTTGTATATTAAGTTTATATTTTTTTATAAATTTTAAGTATAAATATATTTTATTTTAATTGAATTTAGTATAAAAAATTATATAAAATTAATTATAAATACAATAATTGATCAAATTTAACATATATTTAATTACATGAGTTAGAAATTCTCTTTAAAAATTAAGAAATGTTGAAATTAACATGGTAATCTCAAAATGTTCAATTAGAGCCACTTTATAAACTAATATAATTAAAAAAGACATCACATTGACATATTGTATGACTATGTTTGAGTGTTCTAAATATTTTGATTGTTTATTTTCTCTTGAAAGTTAAATATATACTATAAAGAATATATATAGGTTTTTTTTTTTAAAAAAAAAAAAAAGAAGAAGGAATGGATTTTGTGAATAAATTACTTTGACCAAGGGATGGGGGGCTAGTTGATGATAAGGTTTGTGTTAGTCAAGTTAATGTAACTTTTCATGACTTTCTTATTTGTGTTGAGGATGATCTTCCTTTAATGGTAGAGAAATAGAGTTAAAATAATGGGCTAAAATTGACTTATGATATCGTTTAATTATTATGAAGATATTACTTATATTATCTATAAAATATTTTTAAGAACCGAAATTAACATATTATTTTGTATCAAATAAGATGCGATAAGTAAAGTTTATTTCCATAAGAAGAGGTTTTTCACCACCACAAACATGGGAGAACCATGTAATGACCATTGCCCATGTCTTCCTAACCAATGGCAGAAATTCAGAATTTTCATCCCACCAATGTAACCATTGAAAATTGTTTCTCTTCTTTTTCTTTCTCCTCAGTTTGCTCAATCCAAACATGGTGTTAAGGACTTGCCGAAATTAGGCCTAGTTGCTCTCATAGAACTCGGAGAATATTTAGCACCCCCATGCCGGAAATCACAAAATGAATGCCTATGAGCGGTTCATTCACAAGCACTCTATCCAACCAACAAAATTATTTCCACAGATAGAACTGTCATTCTTCTCTATTTTCGAATCATCTGTACTTGAATTGCTGACCTTACCATACAATAACAGCAAAATTTGGCAGAATAGTATCTTTCCACCTCTAGCTCATTCATTAATCTAAAAAAATGAATTTGAAATTATTCCCAAGGAGGTGGGAAGAAGAGAAGGAAAAGAATACGGGAAATTAATCAAAGACTTTAAGCAATCAAATATTGAATACAAATACCAATTCGATTAGTTCTAACAAGCCTTAATGGCTAACTGTTGCATAAGAATGAAACCCGGTAAGGATTTAGTTACAATACTGTTTTTCCTACAGTGGTTACATAATGTGTGGTGGCATTAAACGAATGGTTGAATACAAATTCAAGCATCAATCACTCAACCACTCGTTTAACGCCTACCATGTTACATTGCACAAAACATAATATGCAAAAACAGTGTAGCTCCATCATTTGCAAGACCAATATGATACAGATAGATAACCAACAATAGCACAATTACAATTCGCATTGCCGGTTGGTAAAATTTCATAACCAACCAGGCAGAATGCTGTCAAGTGCCAAGCAACTAAAAAACGGAGATGACTAGCCCCATAGTTTCCTGCTAGAACCCTAGGATTAAATCCTCAAACAAATTATTTTAATTCAACTTCCCAAGAAATGCATAACTCCACCCCAGCCCCCTCAAAAAAAAAAAAAAAAAAAAAAGGAAGAAGAAGAAGAAAATTTCTTGTGATGACTTAGAACCATACATGTTACACCAGACAAATCATCAGAAAGCAACTAATCTTTCTTTAGCCTTGCCTCAAAACCTCCTTCAGGTCGCTTTACAAGAGTGTAAGGCATGTAAGTTCCCAGAAGCCTATCCCATATGGAGAAGAATGGTTGGGAGTAGTTGTACTTTGTGCCTTGAAGTTGATGGTGGATGTCATGATAAGCAGTGTTATTCTGGAAGAAAATATGAAAGATATTGCCAGGCAACCATAATCCACAATGATCATCCACAGTTTTAATCACAGCAAAGCAGAAGAAAACTACAGCTGTTCTTGCAGTCATTCCTGAAACAAGGAAAGAAATGGCTCCACCAAAAGTATCCAGCAGGAGACCCTCAAGTGGATGATTGTAAAGAGCCCCAATTGCATAGGTAACAACCAGCCTATGATGTTGGGAGTGAACATGACAGTACAAAAATTTGTTTTGATGCATGTAACGATGCACAAAATACTGCCATGTATCCATTGTGAACATTGCAATAATAATCTGCACAATTTGGATGTGAATGGCAGGCTGGACTGGGGTCGTAGATATATCAAACTTTGACGTTAACTGCAGCAGGGATATGTGACTCAGTTTAGGTGTGTGAGTTATGTATTCAAACTACCAGGGGTTCAAAAATGACACAAGGATGAAAACAATAATACAAGATTACAACTTTACCATCTTGCAGATTAAGTAATAAATAAAGAGTATTGGCTAGTCAACAAATTCAAGAATGAGAACAACTCTTGTGGTTTTACCATATGTCAAGTAAACCTAATGAAAAAAACATAACCTAGTGATACCAATCAATGATGGAAATGCTGCGCAATATTTTATAAAAAGAGTATTGGCTAGTGGACTAGTCCAATAATGAAAACAATTATTGTGGTTTTATAAAAAAAAAAAAAAAAAAAAAAAACCCAAGTAATAATACCAATCAATGATAGAAATGCTGAGAAATATTTTAGGCAAGTACAGAGTGAGAGAAGAGTAGAAAGGGAGTTAAACAAGAACCAAGAAAAAAGTGGCAACCATATAGAACCAAAATGAAAAGTAAACATACAAGATTACAATTTAACCGCTATAAATTAAAGAGTGTCAACAAAATGGGTTGAAGACGGTGTTTGTGTTTCTAACATGACTTAACCTCCCTCTCCACAAGTCCCAGGAAGAGCTTCCTCAATAAAAGGGAAGTTTTTGAAAAAAATTCTACTTTCCCTCTCGAAGAAACAAAATAAATTTCAGCTATGTAGAATTTTCATGATTATCTTGGTGCAACCTAACCTAAGAGCACTATATATTACCATTACCATATATATAAATACTCGTGAAAAGAAAAGAAAAGAAAAGAAAAGAAAAGAAAGGGAAAGGAAAGGAAAAAAAAAAAAAAAAAGTAGTCTTCCTGTCTTTGATTGGAATTTGGAAAAATAATTATCCAAGAAACCTATTGTTATAGTGCTAAGGTATATCTCATGTATAGGCCACCAGGTCATGACTATCATTTTCATGAAGAACTAAGTGGCTAACGAATGCCTCATGATATGGAGGACTAGCACTAATGAAAAAAAACTCAGTTCACCTCATTCATATCCAGAGTAGGGAGTTTAATGAGAAAAAATAGATCATATAGTCAAAGGAATTAAAGAGATGAAGAAATCTATAACAGCACTATCATGGAAAAATGATATCAAAGATTAAAAGGAGTCATATTAAGCAGGATAAGATTTTCACAAGCTACAAATCCCAGTTTTTGAAAAGGAAGGTGACTGCATTAGATGTGTTATCTATGCCAATATGAATAACAAATATCAATCTTTGATCAGTCAAAAAAACTTTAATTAGTAAAATGTGATTTCAAGTATAAGAAGTAACAACTGGCAGTTATTACTCACCTTTTACAATACTAGGATGCTACACAAATATTTTGAAATGAATGCCCAAGTTAGTTTAACTTGCGAGACCTTTTAGAAGAGTGGGCTTGATTCCAAATCATAAAACCTATAAGAAAACTACCCTAACTCTTAGCACAGTTTAAGGAGATTCATCCATTAAATCATGTTAACTAAATTCGTGGGCCTACCAGTTTACCTTAAGGATGAAGTTCACTAATCCTAATTTAAGTCAAACCACTTAAGAATCACCTATATATTCACCCAAACCAGATGTCCAAAAACAACTAACGCCACTTCGAAGTCATTTGGAGTGAAGTACCATAATTCATAATACACACTCAAGTGTAAGCAACACCCCAATGTTCAGTTTGACATTTTTTTCAAGAACAAAACTTCCAAATGTATTCAATTCACACAAGTTATAAGAAGGATAAGAAAATTGAGTGGTTAAACTTTGCTAGGCAAGTTATAGTGAGCTCAAGCTCCCCACTTTCTTTGTTCTTACAGTCAAAGACTATGCTTTCTAACAGAAAAATCACTTCTTTAAAACAGAGAAAATAAAGCATTCAGCAAAAACCACGAATAAACTGACCAGGAAGAGCAATTGAGCGACCGTTGCTTGAACGAGCTGCTGAAGCAAAACACCCTTAACTACAGTGGCGAGCGGCACAGAGTTCTTCTCTTCCTCCTCTTTCCTGGTATGCAACCTGAACTTATCCAAAGGCGGCAAAAGCTGATAAAACCCAGCATACACCCAATATACAACAATTGGAGCAAACGTCCCCATTGCTTCATCACTCACGTACCCCTCCCAAAATACCATTGCTGATCCCAAAACACAATACTCAAAAACCCAGCTCAAAGTTCTCAACTTTCAAACTTCATTCGCAGTTTAAGATCTAGAACTGAGTGCAAATCCTCAATTATACCCTAAAAAAAAGAAAATTCTTTCTGGGGTTTTAACACTGAAACAAGAGATTTCAGAATTGGGAGCTGAAAATTAAAAAGAACACGGATGAAGCATTGACTTACAGAATTGATATTGAAAAGACGAATGGTGCATTCAGATCTAGGCATCAATCACGGTTGACAGTTGTGATTTGCTGATTTTTATATTCATATAGATTTTGTTTTCCTTAAAAATTAATGGGGGGTTGGGCAGAGAGAGGATGACCTCCTCTTTTGGTCTGGGAGTAGGAATGTAAACCGGGTCCTGCGGGTCGGGGAGTCCTTATCCGTCCCTGTCTTTGCAAACGGTGAGGACGGAATTCTCACGGGCAATGGGTTCAATTAATATTAAATTATAAATTTTTTATTTTTTATATATAATTAATTAATATTTAATTATAATAAATAAAATTTTAAAAATTTAAATATAATTAATTAAAATTTTTAAATATAAAATCAAATATAAATTATCTAAATATAAATAAAAATCAATTTAACATAAATAATTAAACCAATAATTAATAAATTTATTCTAAATATAAACAAAGATTAATCTAAATTAAACTAAAATATAAGTAAAAATTAAACCAACAATGGAAGGGAAGGTGAAAATGAAAATTGAAAAATGAATTAAAATTAAAGTTAAATGTAAATAGGAGAATGAATTGGGTTAAGTTTAATTTTGATTTAATTGAATTTGAACTTGAGTTTGAGTTTGTATTTGGATTTAGATTTGGGTTTGAGTTAGAAAAATGAATTAAATTTAAAATAAAATTAATATATATTTGTTTTAATTTTTACAAGAATGGATATCCCGTGAGGCCCACGGGATGGGAAAAATTTTGTTTGGGGGGGGGGATGCTCCCAATTCTATTCGTAAAGAAAAATATTCCTTTTCGTCCCATTTTTGTGACAGGAATCTATGGAAATTGAGAAAAATTACCATCCCTATCTGGGAGGCTGGAAAATAAAAATTCGTTTTTTCACTCACGGTTACTTGATATGTCTTTGGATTGTAATTACAAAGTTGTTTCCAAAGAATCAAAGTGCATTGTACCCAAAAAAAAAAAGAAGGAAGGAGCAATCAAATTATCATAGTGCTTTGTACCCAAACCTAAAAGAGAAAGGAGAAAAGTCATACCAGAACAAGTTTGACGAAATTCCATTTCAGACCAATCCTGTCCAATAGTGCAGTGACAAATTGGCAAGTGTACCTCCATTTGAAATTGAATTGGGGAAATGATTTTGGAAATAGTTTTTTATTTTTATTTTTTATAATTTGATTATTATTTAAATAATTAATTCTTTTAATTTATATAAAACTCATGATATTAAATATATTTATTTAATGACATATAAATATTGGATCAAAAAATAATATAAAAAATTATCTATATAGTACCACTCATTGAATAATGATAAATGTCATTAAAATTTGATATTAATAATATATTATAAATTATTTTATTTAAAATATTAAAAAATATAAATTAAAAATATATTATACATTTTTAATAATGAGTTTTTTTATTTTTTAATTTCTAATATTTATATTTTTATTAATTTATTAATATATAGTATAAATTATACTATTAATTCATATTTTTGTTTCAAATTTTCATTCCTTATATCTATACTGTTACTCTTTGAAATTCAAAGGGTTAATTTATTCTTTTCATTTATTGTCGGGTTCTGGGAGGATCTGTAGGGGCACCTAACATTAATTTACCCGTATCTGACAAAAATATTAATTTTATTGGTATTGACTCAAAGTTTAAATCGGTAATGTATCTTATAAGAAAAAAATAATAATTTATTATAAAATAAAGATATAAACGATAAAAATTTAAGGTAAATATTTAAAGTTAATGATATGATATAAATTATATTATTAAATTACTTAATACATATAATATTATAATTTTTTAAATTAATTATTAAATAATATAAATTTTATTATTTAAAATATTAAAAATTAAAATTTATATTATATTATTAATTTCAAATTTTAATCTTATTTTTTATTATTTTTTATTATAAGTGAAAAATCACACTTACGTTTTTTTTTTTTTTTTTTGGAAAATAGGTAATGAATCACACTTATGTATTTATCGCTATATTATTGGAGAAACGTCCAGATACGTGGCATGCTTTTATATGGTATGGTAGAATTCTCAAAAAGTTGAATGATCAAGTTAACAACTTTTATATTAATTTCATGTTGTAAATAATAATAATAATAATCACGAAGAATGTGTTGTCACCAAAATCTAAATGGGTGTAAACAGAATGTATTTAATTTAAGGAAAATGAAAGATATGATAAAATTTTTAATTAATTAAATTATAATATTTTTATAAGATTAATGAGTATTATTTATATTATAAAAAATCAAGTAAAAAATATTTTAAAATTATATTATTTTAATAAAATATCATGATAAAAAAAATTAAAATAACTTCATTCTTATTTTAAAATTATGATATTTTAGTTTTTTTAATAAAATTTTATTAAAATTATGTGATTTTAATCTATTTTTCTATTTAATATTTTATAAAATAAATTAATGCCCACTTTTCATATTTAAAAATATTTCATTCTAATTAGTCAAAAAGTCAACCCATCTCCTCTCCTCCATCCTTAAACCAAAAATACCTAAGGGGTTCGGTATGCTTTGCTGTAATTAAGAATTTAAGAAAAGACACTAAGACATGATTTAACTAGTTAAAAATTAAAAATTAAAAATTTTAAGTTCAAACTTAGCAATAAGGAAATTTTTTTTTTTTAAAATAAGAACTACAATCTTTTCTATAACTCAGTATCAAATTTACAAAAAAAAAAAAAAATCAAGAAAAGTTTATTCCATAAAACATGTATATGTAAAGAAAAAATTGAGTAGTGCTTAAGCTGTTGACAAGTTCATTTTAGCTTTCACCTTTTGAAAATGGAAAAAGCACAAATGTGGTGCTTTTGTGCGTGCTTTTACCTTCATTTAATGAAATTTGTTTATTATACTTATCTTACCCTAATATTGTAAATTTTGCTCATGCTTCTGCGTCCATTTAATGAAATTTGTTTGTTATACATATTTTACCTTCATATTTTAATAAATTTATGGTTAAACCACTATATATACATTACCAGTTATAACCTAAATCCTTAATTTTTTCATCTACCCATCTCCTCCATCTATCGATTACTCTTCTAGCCATAGATCCTAATCTTGCTCTATTTAGGCTCACTTTTCTGATATCGTCATCCTCCTCATCCCAAATCCAATGGTGTAGCCTCCAATCTTCAATGAGTAAGCTCTTTTTTCTCAAACTTCATCTTTTAGATTGTGGGTTTATTATTATTTCTTTCCTCCCCCTTCTTTATTTCTAAAAAGCATGGGTTTTGCTTCATTTTCATTGATGTGTTGGATTTCAGCTTTGTTAAACATAGATTTTGAGATAATTAGTATTAAATCCATTAATTTCTATGTTGATTTCTTGGTTTTCTTCATGTTCATCAATCTGCATACCATTTTCTCTGCTTTCTACTTTTCAAGCCAGAGCAAGCCAGGCCCCACCTGTCGTTCCCTTGCTTATTCCCCCTGTTGCTAAGGTAATTCTTTTCACTTGTTTTTTCCTCATTTTATTGTATAATTTCATTGCAATTTGAGATTTTGAGTTTTGGGTTTTCCTTGTTTTTGTTTTTGTTGCAGTTCAAGATTAGGACTTGCCAGTTACTGGTGACGTTAGATAAATATAGGAACATTGTGCATGCTCTAAAGGCCATCAAGGAGGCTGTAGAAAAGGGTGCCTAGTTTGTTTTGTTGCCTGTGAGTTTTCATAGTATTTACTATTATTCGATTTTTGCTGTTTTATTTTCTTAAAAGCCTGCATCAGCCACGCTTTTTGGTAAAAGCATAAGTGGACCCATTTTTAAGTTTTCCCAATCAAATCTATGAAGAACACTAGATACCATATGACTATTCCATGAAAAAAAAGTACAAACATTTGGGGGCCTATTGTTCTCAATGGTAGTGTTCTCTTTTGGCTACAGTTGATAGGAGAGAAGTGGAAAGATTGAGACAAAAAGAGGTGGGGGTAGAAAAGGAAGAAACAAAGTGAATGTTCTCATACTATAGTAGTTACTTATCTTGAACAAGCTATTTAAGTTTTAGAGTTCAATTTAGTAAACATTAATCATTTTCCCTTTTCTTCATTATTCTAACAATAAAACGATACTACTTCCTTTATTTTCAGTAGGAAGGAGAGAAGGTGGAGGCTTGAAGAGATGGCAAACAGAACAACGCAAAAAGGCTCTAGTTGTTCTCTATCACCTTCCTTTTTTTTTTTTTGTCGATGAGAACGGCTGAAACACTACTTCCTTTATTTTCCTCACAGTCACCAATGACACCACCAGTGGCCATCGTCTCCAACCCCTCTCTATTCCCTTGTCTATTCCTTTGCATTTCTGTCCCAATCTTCCATTTGATGCCAATGCAGAAACTGTTGATGAGGTGGTTGCCTACTTCTAGATTGCTTGCATTGTTTTAATGGATTCTATTACTAGTGAGCAAAAGAGTCATGAGCGTTAGAAACTGAGAAGTGCATTGTGCATGTGTTTCTATTGAGAAAAATGGAAGGATAAAGTTGTAATTATGGCTGAAAAAAATTATATTCCTAAATAGGAATGGGGTGGGGAGTATAATCTTTTGAAAAAAACTAAAAATTATAAAGTCAATTAAGATAATTGTTATTATTATTGTTATTGTTAATTTTTAATTTTATTTTCTTATTTATAAAACTTAAATGTAGTATATTTTATTTTTTAATATTCAAATATAAACATTTATCTATCTATTAATACTTAAATTGTTAATTATTAACATTTATGTTTTATAAATATAAAATATTCATTTATAATCATCAACTTTAACATAATTAAATTAAAAAAGAATTTGATACTCTATAAAAATGAAGAAAAAAAAGAGGGAGAGAGATAATACTTTTTTTAAAAAAATGTTTCTTTTAGTCATTTAAAAATTAAACGATTTTTTTATAAAAAATTTTACCAAACTATTTTATATTTTGAAAGTTTTTCGATAAAAAATTTTACGTAATACTATTAAGTTTTTAAAAACAAAACTTCTATTAAAGATTCTTTTGAATAGAACTTTTATAAAAGAAAAAAAAAAAAAAAACTCCAACTATACCAAATATGCCTTTAAACTCAGATTATATCTTACCTAATTTATATTATAATTGGATGTTCCATTTTAAGGTTTATAAAAAAAATGATATTCCATTTTAAGATGTAATTGTTTTTAAGAGAAAATTTGTATATAAAAATACAAATTTTATTTATTTTTATTTTAAAATATAAATTTTGTTAGTTTTTAAATAAATTAATAATTTTTTATTTTTATTTAAAAATATCAATTTTATATATTTTTAAAAAAATTAATTGAATGAGTTTGTACATTTCAAAATTAATCTCCCTTTGATCTAATCAACTACAGGACATTTACATTAAAATTAAAAAATTCATAAAAAGATTGCATTTTTATTGACGTCTTTAAAAAATCAAGTTTAAGTTAATGAGATAAAAAAACAAATCTTTTTCTCAATTAAGTCATGGTTTCTTAATTTTTTATTTTTTCTTGATACCTTTATTAGAACATACAAATAATTTAACAATAATTTTTTTAGTACATTAAAAGATTAACCACTTAATATTATAAAAATATAACTTTTTGACTTTAATTTAAAATTTAAAATTTAAAATTAATAAACATTAACTCTAATAAACTCTTCCTAATAATAATTTTAATAATAATTTTTTTACTTTGAGAAGGCAAGAGTTATTAGAGAACAATCGGTTGAGTCAATACAATCACCAAAAGATATACTAATAATTAGTGTTCTTCGCTGCAGGATAATTTTTAAACCTTTTTTTTTTTAGCCTGCGGATAATTTTAAACCAATTATAAAGTACTCACATTAAAAATACAAAAATGAAAAAAAATTCTAAAAATTCTGATTTGGCTGTGAACCCTCACTCCTCAGCAACCCTTGGAATTGAAACCCCCTAAACACAAAATTCAACTCTAATTTCCAAGAAACTTCACGGTCACGCCCGTCCCCCAGCCAAATAAAAGGACACACACACCGCCCACCATCACAAAAGCCACCTCACTTTTTGTAACTCGCAGTTCTATCTTGTTTCTTCTGCTCCAATCTTCCCTCAAAAGTAAAAAGGAGCAGGGGAAAATTCCTTCGTACCCATCTCAAATCTATCATTTAGATCCCATCTATCCGATTCTTGTTCATGTTTGATGTAGATTCCACCTGGGTTTTTATCTAAATCGGCCTCTTTTAACCCTCTTGATTCTTGTTTTCGCTAATCCATCTCCAGAAAAGTAGAAAAGAAGCTGCTGTTCATGGCGACAGTATCTGTTTCGATGAAGGTTAATAGGACGACCCCATGTTTCGATGAGGATCAGGTGTGGCCGCCGGGGTTCCGATTTCACCCAACCGATGAGGAGCTTGTCGTGTATTACCTGAAGCGGAAGATGTGTCGGAAGAGGCTCAAGATCAATATCGTTGGCGAGACCGATGTTTACAAGTTTGATCCTGAGGAGTTACCTGGTATGATGCCCTTCATTTTTCCTTTCTTCTCGTTCTAAATTCTAATTATGGGTTTTTTTGGTTGATTGTTGTTTAGGTGTTTTTGACCTTTGTGTTTTGATTCGGGGTTCTTAATTGATATCGATTTTGGATTGCATCTTTAATTCGATTCGCCGTATACCATCTAATCTTCGTTGTGTTATTACTTACACTGTTGGCGATGAGAGTTTGGATCCGTTGACTCAATTTCACTGTAATTTTTTCCTTGATCTTCTCAGTTTCTAATTGTTAACGAGTGATTATGATGAATTCCCAAAATGAAAAATAAGTTTTTTTTTTTTTTTTTTTTTTTTGGGTTTTTATCGCGTTGACTTGGGTTCATTATTCATAACTTCATATTTGTTCTTTTTTTTTTACCACTTTATTGTTCGATGACAGGGATTCAACGGATTTTGGTTTTAGATTCAATGTTTGCTTAATGATTTGTTGATCCGTGGTTGAGGATTGGAGGGATAAGGGTTGACTTGGTGGTTTGTTTCATTTCTTATTTACTTTTGTCGTATTAATTAGTTTGGATTTATTGATTCTGTTATTAATTCATTTAAAGAACTATTTTGATCTTAAAATACCATTGACATGTGTTTTTACCTGGTAGAACTTCTCTTTTCAATAGTCAATGATGTATATGTTGGTTTGAAGTTGGTTTTCACTTCTGTTAGTTTATTCCCATTGAATGTTCTGAAGGGCATTGTCATTCAACTTCAAGAGTGGGGATTTATGTTAAAAAAAATTAAGCAGTAGGTAATTTAATGTTTATTCGGTATTGCTTCTTTCTTTGTTTCTGGGTTTTGATTTTTTTTTTTAAATTACGTTTGTATGTTGACTCCCTGTTATCAGTTTTTCTGACAAGCAAAATTATGTGCAGGGCAAGCAATTTTGAAGACAGGAGACAGGCTTTGGTTCTTCTTCAGTGCAAGAGATAGGAAATACCCAAATGGAGGAAGGTCAAATAGGGCAACTAAGTATGGGTATTGGAAAGCAACTGGAAAGGATCGTACTATCACCTGTAATTCTCGAAATGTTGGGGTGAAGAAAACTTTAGTTTTCTATAGAGGGCGTGCACCTTCTGGGGAGCGAACTGACTGGGTGATGCATGAGTACACCTTAGATGAGGAGGAGCTCAAAAGATGTGATAATGTAAAGGTATGCAGCAAAACTTCATAAGGAGTCTGATTGTAATAGTCTTTCTGCATATCTGCTGTTTAATAACCTTGCATTTCTTCTTGGATTTCAGGACTATTATGCTCTTTATAAGGTGTATAAAAAAAGTGGACCTGGCCCTAAAAATGGTGAGCAGTATGGGGCACCATTTAGAGAGGAAGACTGGGCAGATGATGAAGGTACAAGTACCCTGGTTCCTGTTGATTCAGGGACCCCTGTGATGCAGCCTAATGAGGCCACTTCTGACAGTAATGTAGTAACTAATTGTCAAGTTGAGCCTCCATTAATTGATGTCTCAGAGCAGATAACTGATGGAGCACCTGAGGCTGCACTTCCTGAGCCACAAGATGTTTATTGTCATTATACAATGCCTCAGGTTTTGTTCACTTTCTTTTTCATAAAAATTATGTATTGATGCTTAAAGTAGCTTCTTTAGAGAGATAGAGAGTGCATCACTGATTTTTATTTTAATTGATAGGATTTTGGTGAAAAAGAAGACCAGAGTGCTTTGGTGGAGTTAGCCTCAGGGGAAATTGTCCTTCCTGAACAAATGAGAGTTATTCGCCCAAGTTATCAGTCCAATGATGAGCACTCGAGCTTTGAATTCACTCCGTCAACTACATGTAAACTGCAATCAAATGTGTCACTTGAGGTTGCATCAGCTTCCAACCACTCCGAATGTGCACCTCAGATACGTGGGGAAGACTTCTTGGAGATTAATGATCTTGTTCTTCCTGAAGCTATGGTTTTTGGTGTTGAGAATCCTGTGGAGAACCTGCTGTATGATGAGTTGGATTTGTACTATGATGCTGAAAAGTTTCTTCATGACTTGGGGCCTATTGATGAGGGAAATGTTTTGTACCCTTATCTGAATTCCATTGGGGATAATTTCATAAATCAGGAGTACCAATTGCAAGCCAATTCAAATCCAAGCCTGGCAGACCAGCACTTGCAACCCCAGTCAACAATAAACCAGGCAGGTGACGAGTTGCAGTTCCAGGCAGGTGACGAGGTGCTGTTCCAGGCAGTCGACGAGTTGCAGTTCCAGGCAGGTGACGAGTTGCAGTTCCAGGCAGGTGACCAGTTGCAGTTCCAGGCAGGTGACCAGTTGCAGTTCCAGACAGGTGACCAGTTGCAGTTCAAGGCAGGTGACCAGTTGCAGTTCCAGACAGGTGACCAGTTGCAGTTCGAGGCAGGTGACCAGTTGCAGTTCCAGACAGGTGACCAGTTGCAGTTCCAGACAGGTGGAAACCTGCTGGATTACCAGGCCCACAACAGTCCAGTTGGTATGCATCAGATAACTAGCCAGCTCTGGACACATGAGCAGGGAAGTTATGTCTTCAATCCAGCAGCATCAAATTTGGAAATTCTTAATACACCAACTTCAGGTACATGCCAAAGTCTAAATGGCAAATATCCTATGTGAAAATGGGAATTTGAGCCAATTCTTAGGGCTCTTCTGAAGCTGTTGTTTTTCTAATAGATATCTAATTCTGAGATAAAATATTAGTACTCTGTTCATTTTAGTCATGGTGGAAAATTTAAGACAGTTTAGAAAGCTACACTGTGAATATCCACCGAGATGTAGATCTTTTGTTTGCTTATATTGGTTATTTCTGGTCATGCTTAGGGCTGAAATCTGATGTAAATCAAGATCAAGGTCTAAAAGAAGATGCTGCGACAAGCCCTATTTCTTCTGCTTTGTGGGCCTTTGTGGAGTCAATACCTACCACTCCTGCTTCTGCAGCAGAGAATCCTTTGGTTAATCGGGCTTTCGAGCGGATGTCCAGCTTTAGTAGAGTGAGACTGAATGCCAGAAACGATATTGTTTCTGCAGGTAATGTCTCTGAAACTGGTAGAAGAACAGGTGGAAAGAGGGGATTCTTTTTCCTCTCTATATTTGGTGCTTTATGTGCTATCTTGTGGGTGTTGATAGGAACTGTAAGGTTGGTGGGGAGATCCATCTCCTCATGAAGATACTTTGTAAATGGGAAGTTTTGTTTTGCACTCTACTGAAGATGGCTGGAATTAACTAAATTGGTCGGCTCAGTGGTGTAATAGAGGGTTTTAATAACTTATTTATGAATTTTTAACGTAAAGTTTGGGACATAGGTTTCTTTCTAGAGCTCTGTTATGTTACAGATGTCCTTCATTTATGCAAATATAAGTTCTTTTTAAAATTTAAAAATCTAATCTTTTTTTTTATTCTTTTGTTATATGTATGTCACTATAATCATCTCCATCGCTAGATGCTTCCCCCAATATATATACTACATGGCGCTGTTTTTATGATTTTGTTGGAATTGGAGGGTTATTTTACATTAATTGTACGTCATGACCATTTCCATCTCAGTTGTGACTTGTGTCTGCTAACCTTCGCTATCATTGTAAGCATCACCACAAAAGAAACAATAGCGCTATGGCAGTAAAGTGGAGCTTTGATCATTGTCACCAGATCTTTTTGTCCAACATGGTGTCACATAACATTGGAGGAGGATTTTGTTCTTTTTAATGGTATAGGGATTCCTACTCATGCATTTGCTGCTATTGCTAATTATAGGGCAGGTTTGAGGTTGTACTAACTTGGTTTGAATGGCATATTTTTCCCTGTTTTGCTCCTCAAAAGAAACAATAGCTCTATAGTAATAAAGTGGAGTTTATTGGATTCATCCCTGTGACCCTGTCTATTGCCTTCTATCTTTTGAGATTGTATATTTATGTGGCATTTTGGAATTTTGTGAAGAAACGGAAGAGATCCCAGGTTGTTGCAGGCGGCACTGCCATCAACCTTAGGTCACTTCCACTTTACTGAATCGAGAGAGGAACTCCAAAGCAAATGGCTACAGGAAGCCAGCTCTTCATTGAGGCAAGATATTGTTGATTTTGAACAAACTCTTGGATCGATCTTTTGTTGTTTTGTGATCACAGTGAATAAATGGGGTCTCGACCACTTTGGTCTGAGCCAAACATTTTATTGTATTAAGTATTTGCTCAAACGGTGAAAAGATACTACTGCTACAAAAAGTGGTTTGTTTTGTTCTGATTAAGATATCATTTCATGTGTGCTCCACTCAGTCTACCAGAATCTAGCCCACTCAATCGTTCATTGGAAAATCCGAAATTTACTGTCTGTTTTTTCCTTTCGAATTCGATATTGAGTTTTTCTTTGGCTTGGTTATATGCAATTTTATTTTGACGAAAAATTGTGTGTCAACGCTGTTAATTGCCTCATAAAAAGTAGAAATTCAGTCAAAATCATCCCATAACCATAAATGTATAACTAAAAAAGTATTGTGTAATCTCTCTATTAAGTACCTTTTTTTCTTTTTTGGTAATTTGTTAAGTTTAATATGTAAAACAGAGAAATTATAAAACATGCCTGCCAAAATTCTAGTGACCATGTTTTCTTTGCCAACTACTCAAGTGATGGTGGTAATCTGGTTACTCTGAGCGAAAGATTATTATGCATTCAAGTTGTACGTATACAAGTAGGGTGCTTAAAATGATGAAAAAATGTTTCTTTGTTATTTAATTTTTTTTTTGCACAGCAATTTCTTTGTTATTTAATTGAACGACATAAAAAAATTTAATCCCATCGTTAAAAGAAATTATCATATTAGACCGCGTTAAGTATATTTTTTAGATTGTTTACATGATATTTGTTTGGCTTCAAAAAATTTAATAAATAAAACATGGAAACTTTATGGTTAAATGCTAAATTTGGTCTTTTAACTTGAGTGAGTTACACATTTTTGGTCCCTCAACAATTTTTTGCACTTTTTTGATCCTTTAACTATACGAAATGCACTCCGTTAGTCTTTCTATTAATTCGGGCCGTTAACTCGCTTATGTGGCATTTTTTATAATTTTTTTTATGACGTGGCAAAAATAATTTTAAAAAACGTTGATCTGGAATTTTTTTAAGCTAACTCACTGCCAACTCACTGCCAACTCATCAACCAATTTTGCCTTAATAAAAAAATAGAAAATTTCAAATTTACCCCTCTCCCCTTTTTTATCCATCTTCTTCCCCTCTTTCGATCATCTTCTTCCTTTCTTCTTTTTCTTTTTCTTTCTTCCTCTTCTTTCTACCTCTTCTTCGTCTGTGCCTGCTGGGTTCCACCGGAACCCAGCAGATCTGGGTTCACGAAACCCAGCAACTGGGTTCAGTGAACCCAGCAACTGGGTTCCACCACAGATCTGGGTTCCGGTGGAACCTAGCAACTGGGTTCCAATGGAACCCAGTTTGCTGGGTTCACCGAACCCAACTCCACTTTTTCGTTTGTTTTTTTTTTTGTTATATGTTTGTTTATGAAGTGATTATCCAAGTTGTAGGGTTCAAAATGGAAAGAACAGAAGCAATTCTTAGTGGGTTTTCATTTGTTTGGCTGGAAAATGATATGGTTTGGATGCTGAGAAAATGCTTTGAATTTGTTTGGTTGCCGAGATTGATTACCGAGAAATTATAATGTTCCTTTAAGAAAGAAAATTTAGAAAGAAAATTTGGTGAAAAAATTGTGGTTTAATTATAAATTAATTTAGAATTTTAATTTTAATTAATATAAATAATTATAATTTAATGATAATTAATCAATAAAATTTAATTTGATATTATGTTTTATTCGAATTATTAGTGATGTGAGACCCATTTAAATAAATTTGTTGCCACGTTAACCAAACACAAATTTCTTTATTAGTGATGTGGATCCCATTTGAATAGATTTGGCATATAGAACATGATATGTCCAAATATTTGTTCATGTTATCACTTTTCCAAATTTTGCTTTCCATATCATCGAAAAAAATATAAAAAATGCCACATAAGAGAAGTTAACGACTTAAATTAACAGGACTAACGAAGTGTTTTTGATGATATGGATCCCATTTGAATAGATTTGGCATATAGAACATGATATGTCAAAATATTTGTTCATGTTATCACTTTTCCAAATTTTGCTTTCCATATCATCAAAAAAAATATAAAAAATGCCACATAAGAGAAGTTAACGACTCAAATTAACAGGACTAACGAAGTGTATTTCTTATAGTTGAGGGATTAAAAAAGTGCAAAAAATTATTGAGAGATCAAAAATGTTCATTTCTTAAAGTTGAGGGACTAAATTTAGCATTTAACCAAACTTTATTGAGGTAAGGTTAGGAGTTAAGTGCATATAAAACTTTTTGGTACTTGATTGATATAAATTTTTATTTAGGGGTGAAAATAATTACCCAACAAATTTTGAAGACTAAATATCATAATTCACCCAAGGCCAGTAACATGAAGGGGCGCATTAATGTAATATAAATTTATGGAAAAAAAGGAAAAAAATTCCAAAAAGATAAATCTCAAAATATATATTTACGAAAGGAAAAATCCATTCTGGAAAAAAAAAAAAAAACTGGAAATCCTTGAAATTAATAAATTGCCAGAAAATAAGCCGTGAGAGTTCGGAGTTTGCGTTGGTACGGCCCGGAAGGGATCGGAGCTCCGGAATTCAGAGAACAGTGAGAAACCAGGGGGCAATCATCTTCTTCACTGGAAATCGATTTTTCTGTTCTCGATCAAAGAATTCAAACACGGCGCCGCCTGTATATACCGATATTGCTGTATCCACTGCGGTTGTTGTTGTTGACAGGGCCAATTTCTGTCCAAAAGAGAAGTAGAATAAAGAGAGAGCGATGTGGAAGAGGAAGAAGATGAAGCACAGCTTCACCTTCTTCTCCTGTTGATTTGTTTCGTTTCATGGCCTCTTCGCAGCATCGATGCGTTTTTGGTATCCCTCTCTCTCTATATAAGTATCTCTTTTTTTTATTAATGCGTCTCTGATTTGCTTGTTAATTTTGCGTAATTGCCTTTGGGATTGTTGTGAGATCGTCGGAAAAAAATTTCTGGTGGCCAATTTGATTTGAAACTTATTAGCAGGATTCGATGTTAATGGTTTCTTTCAATTAAGAGAGGGATTTTGATTTATTTCTGGTGGTTGATTTTGTTGCCTTTGGTATGCTTATTTGTTTATTCTTTTCGTGGCAGTTGGCAATATACCATATGATGCCACTGAGGAACAGCTTATAGAAATCTGCAGAGAGGTTGGGCCTGTTGTGTCTTTCAGGTTGGTTTTGGAGATTGTACTTTTTGGTTAAAACCCTAGATATATTTGAGATTCAGTTTTCTTAGATTAATCTGGACTTTTGAGTTCAATTTACAGTGATCCTTAGTTCTAGATATGCGCAAGGTGATAAGTTGGTGTAGAGATCTGACTGAGATAGGGTTTGGTTTGGCTTATTCTGCTTCTAGGATAGAGGCAGTGTCTTTCGTTTTGATGTCACTGACACTCCACTTCTCACTGTTAATCCTATTTAAGGCTTGGGCATGCTCAGTAGTTATCTAAATACTTAATATGGGTATCATTGTCACATGTTTCTGAGTAACTGCTATAGGACTCAATTGCAAGCTTCCCAAATAAAAGAGTTGAATTCTAAAGGGTTGCAATGTTTTTTCTGCATTTCTTTGATTTGGAAATTGAAAAGTCTTGAATTTGAATTTCATTAGTCATTTTGTGCCCCTTTCTTCCCCCTTCTTATAACAGCAACTTTTTGTTTCAGATTAGTTATTGATAGAGAAACTGGCAAACCAAAAGGTTATGGTTTCTGTGAGTATAAGGATGAAGAGACAGCTCTGAGTGCACGTCGTAATCTTCAAGGTTATGAAATAAATGGCCGGCAGTTACGAGTTGATTTTGCTGAAAATGACAAAGGTTCTGACCGCAATCGAGAACAGGTGAACTTTGTTATCAGTTTGCTTTCTTTCTTCTTTTATTAGTTCTGTTAGAATTATTCAGTTGTACGATTGCAGCTCCTCTTTCTTATACTAGTAATTGTTAATTATCTTTTTTGACCAAACCAGACAAATTGGTTTGTCATGTTACTAATCAGACAAAAAATAAATGGATCAAAGAAGTATTTTACTTTTTATTGGTAAGATTTGAACCTACAGCCAGCTTTTAATGAAGCTCAAAGTTTGGTTTCCTTCTTTTGCAGGGTCGTGTTGGACCGGGAGGGGCAACAAATATTGGTTAGTTCTTTTCCTCTGAAATTCTGTGTACTGTTTAATTTCAAAATAATGCAACCATAAGTGCATTGTTTTTTCCTCCTCACTCACACATCATAGATCCTCAAAAACATTTAGGAGGCCCAGCAGTCCATGGGGAATCTGTTCAACATCAGCCATTTGGTCTCCATTTTGCTATTACTGCCGCAGCTGTAATGGCTGGAGCTCTAGGTGGAATGCAGGTTGGTCTGCAGTCAAATCAAAATGGGTTACAAGGTCAGTCAGCAGCTGCTAATGACCCATTAACACTCCATCTTGCCAAAATGTCAAGGACTCAGCTGAATGAAATTATGTCTGATCTAAAGGTATGTGCTTTGAGCAAAGCTTGAATGATTTTCTTGCATTTTCTTAATTAACTTATTCTTGCTCTCTCCCTCCCTCCCTCCCTCTTATTGACAGAAAATGGCTACACAAAATAAGGAACAAGCTCGTCAGCTGTTGCTTGCAAGACCTCAGTTGCTCAAAGCTATTTTTCAGGTTCTTTTTGTTGTTGTTGTTATTGTTGTTTTTTGCTTTATTTTATTTTATTTTATAAAAACAGAAAAATCTTTATTGCTTAAGGGTTTGTTTTGTGAAACTTATATTCTAGTACTTGTCAGACAAGAATTAGTTTTAGTTTATCCTCTCCCTCCCTTCCCCCCAATCTTAAAATATGTTGCAAGAAGTTGTCCACTTGCAAATGCTATGAAAAAGAGTTTAATTTTATGTTTTAACTTTTCCTCTTGGCCTAGATGATAGCTTTTTTTATTCTGATCCACTTTGCTGCTTCATGCATCTGATTTTCCCAACACATGATCTATTTGTTCATTCAGCCATAACATTTTTACTTTTTGAGTATTTTCCAGATTTATATACAACTTAAATTAATCATGCCTTTTTTGCAGGCACAGATAATGCTAGGAATGGTGACCCCGCAAGTGGTCCGTTTCATTAACTCAAAGGGTTGTGTTATTTGTTTCTCTTTTTTTTGTCATTATATCAAATAAAGATCCTTTTTGGTTATTATCTTTTGCAGTTGCAGATGCCAAACATCCGACAGGCTCCTGGTCAACCAATGCTGCCTTCACTAAAAGATGGTCAGCATGGTCAGCAGCCAGCAGTTCAAACTTTCACTGGCTTACCCCCTCTTGCACAGAAGGTGCAATCTGGGCTGATGCCCAAGGTGGCAGAATCTCAGGTGTCTGCTGTGCTGCAAAATTCTTTAGCACACAACCAATTTTCTGCAGCACTACAGTCATCTGTTAATCCTCAAGCACAGCATTCAAAACTTCCCAGCAATCGTGTACTGCCACCAGCAGCTTTTCCAGGTCAATCAGCAGTTCCAACACTTCCTTCCATCAATCAGGCTCTCAGACCTCAAATTCATGCTACTACCTCATCTTTGAACCAGCAAATTCAGCCTCGATTGGCCCATAACACAGGACAACTTGCAGCTTCTAGTTTAAGTCATAACTCTCAGGCACACCATAATACAGCCATGCAGTCATCTTTTATACCTCATCCCTCAATATCAGATGCTCGGTTTCAGGTGATCAACTTTAGCTTCTTTTTTACTTGGAGTAGGAAAAGGGGTAGAAGTGTGTCTTTCACACTTCTGTGTGAAGCTCCTATTGTTCTTCAATTTGAACTAAAAATGTTCTTTACAGTCCTTCTATCCAAGATTAGTAAAAATATTAAGTTAAATTATTTACTGTTGTTTTATTATCACAGCAATCAAATCCTGAAAGGTTAACATACTTTTATTGTTAAAGTAAAATCTAAAGTTGCCAGTCTCTATCTCTTTTGTCTCTCTGTGGATAGAAAGAAAGTTAATGGTTTGCTTGAACAAAATATATTCTCTCTTTCCTCCTCAGAGTACATGGTGCTTTGTGGTGGTGGTCCTTTTATTCCCTCCCCATAAGTCCCCTGTTATCCTTAGCATGTACTTGATGGAACCTATTTATTTATATCAGTTGACAAAAGCAATGTTGTTGGAATTGCCATTTATCTCTGTTTTCCTCATACCTAACACTAACAGACTAACTTCATTCTTAATTGCAGCCTGGCACCTCAATAACACTAGGCCTTGGAGAGAAAACAAGCAGGATTCATGATTCTTTGGAAGTGATAAATCGGCCTTCAAAACTTTCAAAATTGGAAGATGGAAGGAGCACTTCTTTCTCAATGGAGACTTCTGGTGCATCTAGTCTACCTGGACCATCCCAACCATTTGCCCTTGATTCAATACTTGTGAATGAAATTAATAAGCCAGAAGCATTGCAATTTGCGGACAACCAAATTTCTCAGGTATTGTATGTCATATAATTTTTTTGGCCACCTTGTATTGTGTGTTATATCAACTTGATATAAGAAAATGAGAGTCTTCTATCTACTTATGAGTCTACTTTTCATTCTTTTTTTTTTTTCCTAGATAACATGGGTATCCAAGCCTTTGGCCTGATATCTACTTTTCACTTTTCATGAATCCTTTTTTTTTTAATCTACTTTTCATGCGTTGAGTTTAAACAACAAAAGTTGTTTTGAAATTTTAAGATTTTTTTTTCTCAATAACAGAAAGGTGGCGCCTCGTTGTGACAGTGTAATGATATTGCACAAGTATAATAGCAACTATTAGACTTTAGATTCTTTACAGCATGCATCTTTTTCTTCGTACCTTGATGTGGTCTTTGAATGTGAAGGGTTTTCAGCATGTAAATGATGTTGGTACACACGAGGAACAGTACTTGGTCCTTTTGCAGAAGTTTGGATCATTGTTTTACCAATGCTAACTGCAGTGTGATTGATTTGAGAATAACCATGAGCAAAAATGCAGTGGTCTTGTGCTTCTGTGTGATTTGACATTTTTGTTTCTCTTCCTCAGGCACAGCTTCCACCCGACATGGAGTCTGTCCTACTCCAGCAAGTGTTGAACCTAACTCCCGAGCAACTGAGTTCCTTGCCACCAGAACAACGTCAACAGGTCATTCAACTTCAACAGGCCCTCCGCAAAGATCAAATGCAGCCATCATAAAAGTGCCATCTCCAGGTTTTCAAGTCGCTGGAGGGAGAAAGGTTCGCTGTAACTTATTTTAGTCTCAGTGCTTGTAAAATGATATTTTACATCAGAATCACGTCTAGATTTGTTATGGAAGAGCATTATACCATTCGTGTAAGGTTGGAAGCCTGTTTTTAGAATACATTGAGGAAACCAGTTAGAGAATAGGAAAAAAAAAAAATTTTGTGTCATCCCCTTGTTCATCTGACTGCCAGGACTCGAAACTTTTCTTACTCTCATACAATTTACCTTTGCCTATTATCCATTTGTTTGGGAAAAGAGTATCATAGTTTTTCGCCATAAACAAGACAAAAGACAGCTTGCTTGGGTTGCCGCGAATCTAATTCACTGGATTCATTTTTTAGCTCCTATTCTTTTCTTTTTCCCTTGGTTTTGATTTTTCTTTTTAATAATCGATGTGGCCAGCGAGTGATGTGGCCCGCAAGATTGTGGAGTCTGGAGATTATTATTGAAGGTTGATATATTTGTGTATCTTTTTACTTTTTTTAATTGTTTTTTGGCTAATAAAGATATCATATTATAAACCTGAACGAACTACATAATGTTAAAAAAATGACAAAAAATAAAATAACAACCCAACACGGAAGCTGGAAACAAACTGGAGATAAACTAAAATGTTAAGAAAGAACTAAGTAACCGAAGATAGGCCCAGCAGAGCTTTGACCAGAGGAAGGGCAGTAGGGTATGGAGGGAGAATTAAGACATGTTCGGTTATAGCCAAAGAAAACTTTTTATTGCAAAAGTAGTTAGAAAAATATTGTAGAATAAATTAATAACTATTATGTAAAAAATTAATAAATTTTGTAATAAATTTTTGTTAGAATTATTTTGTGTCATCAAATTTTTTATATTTAATAAAAAATTAATATATAAAAAATTCATAGAAAAATGATTGAATGAGTTCTATATAAAAAAAGTTTAAATGAAGCTTTTTTTTTTTAAAGTGTAAGAAAAATGTTTACGAATTAAAAGTTATGTTAGAAAAAATAAAGTTACAAATTTTATTTTAATTTTAATTTTATTATAATGTTAATATATAAAAATACATAAATAATTTTATAAGAAAGTTTAAAGAACGTAAAGTAGAAAAGAAAATTCCCAACCAAACCCCTAAGAAAAATGAAGCATAGAAAAAGCCTCTCCACCTACCAACAATGTCGTCATATTCCACCTAACACCTTTCAATAGCACCGCTTCTCTTTCAGGAATACACAAGTGTCTAAAGCCTACCACGTACCTCAAGTTTATGTCCCACCCTTCCCCTAAAAAGGAAAGAAATATATATATATATAGATTTGGAGTTAGTGTTTATTCATCTTATTTTTAAAAAATTTGAAAAAAATAAAAATTACCTTAATACATGTTTTAAAAATAAGATAATTTATTTTTTTAATAAAAATTTATTTAAATAACGTAATTTTAAAATAATTTTTTCTTAATTTTTTTTTTAAAAATTAACAAACACTTATTCCTATATATATCTCACACTCCCATCCAGGTAATTTTCTTTCATCAGCAAAATTAATTTTATTAATTTGAGGAGAAGGGTACTCCCAAATAATTAGTTGGGCAAATTGCACTTACTTGCCTTTCGTATATTTTGAAAATATAAATAAAAAACCTTTGTATTAAGAAAATGTGTGAGATTTGATATAAATAAAGACATAACATTTTGAAAATTTTCTAATCACAGTGTGAGAAATGTGCTATTGACCTCAAATATTTTTGATATTTTACTTTTAATTTTAATAAATTTAAGAGTTAAATATACTATAGCTAACATTCCAAATCACAATAAAGTTAAGAGCACATTTCATAATTTGAGAGGTCGATCGGATCTAGTGCATTGTGCATATTAGTTTATCAGTACGACGACATGTGAGCGCGATGGGGATCAGCTTGGGTTCGAGCATGAACCCAACCTGCCGGTGTCTTTCCAGTTTCCATCACCATGGCAATAAATGTGGAAGCCGATTATTTCGATTTTTTTACTTGTATGTATTTTTTTTATACTAATATTTTAATATTTAATAATTTTATTAAATCTAATTAATTTAAAATTGAGTTAAATAAACCTTATTACAAGAAATTTTTTTTAATAATTACTTTTTTACTCACAAAATTTAAATTAAAAAAATTATTTAAAAAAAATTAAATTAATTCCACTCAAATCAACTAATATATTTTTTTTTAATGTATTCCCTCAGCTTTAGAGTCTTTTTTGGCTGAGTCAGTGCGCCACTAACTGCTACATTGTAGGTCCCTTCTCACGTGCCCCGCCGCAAACTTGATTTAGAGGATTAGACCCATTCAAAACAATTTTTTTTCTTTAGTTGATAATGTAGAAATAATTTTTATATTATTTTTTATATAATTTATATATATTATTAAAT